GCTGTACTGTCAAGGAACTGACTTTGTCATATGTGTTTGCATGTAACTTACAGTTAGCCCCACATTTTCCACTTTGCCTTTGTTCATGTAATAGCTGGAAAATTCATACAGTGGTTCCCTGAGGGTGCTGGAATGATCCAGGTGGGTGGTCGGAGCCTTGGGTGCAATTGAGGGGCATTGAATACAAATAAGGGGGGCGGTGGAAGCATAAAGAAAGAAGAGTCCAGAACCTATCTAAAGCAGCCTTTTGGCAGTAGGCCAAATATGTTTGGGAACCTATGTAAATTTAAAGCCATGGTGCTAAATCTCAGGCGCAGTACCCAAATTCTGTTCTTTTTCTACACTTGTATAGAATCTCAGAGTGTACTTGGTCCTGGGATCAAAGGCAAGAGATCGGGTGCTTATTCCATCATTCACTTAAGGTTTTTTGGGCCCTTCTGGAAGCACTCATAAGGAAAGGTATCTTAGCTTAGAGTCATCCTCTCTGCAGAGGATCATGTGGCCTCCAGATGATACTGAGTAGAAAAGGCTGATGTGATCATAGCTGGTTGGAGGCAAGGCAGTAGGGCATCATAGGGAAGTGACATCATGCCTGGATTGAAGCAGGGAATAAGAAGGCAATTGCTGCTGCCACAGGTTTTGGGTGCAAGCAACTGGGAGGCTTTTACTGGCATTTAAAGGCATGGCTAGGATTGGGGCTGTGGCTGGCAGCTATTGCTGGGAAAAGCAGGTAGGGGAGAGGAGCATTGCTTTTTAGAGGATTCTGGTTCTCCTGGTGCTTTGTTGCAAAAGGAGGAAAAGGGAGAACATGAAAACTCTTGTAAGGTTTAGAAAGGCTGTGCTAAAGTCACAACTTCCATCACTGTGGCAACATGGCTTCAGGTCTGGTTTCCATAGCTACCATCACAACTGCAAAACATGCTGTAGACATTTGGGGGGAAAGGGTTGAGCAGAGGCTGGTCTGATCTTGAATGAAACCATTTCAGTGGGCAAAACAAGGGATAAGGAATTATTGTTTCCTGTGGCAAACAGGGTGATGGTGATTTAGGAGAATAAGCAGGTCTGAGCATTATACTCTGCAGTTTCCCCACTGAAATGTTTCAGTTAGTATTCGCCATAAAATTTAGTGTGTAAGAATGCCTCCTTTTTAAAAAAAAGTTTCTAGTCCTTCAGGGTTTCAAAGATAGAAGTCCCCAAAACCAAAATGTAGAATGAGCTAGCTCATAAGGTTTCATTGCCATATGCAACTCTCTATTCATCTTTGTGCATACTTCCACATTGCTATCCACGAAGAGTGCAGGAAATTCCTTAGGTTTAGATCTGCGGGTCAATTCTTTCAGTACTCAGTGTTGTCATTTGGTTTGACCACAGCCCCCAGTCTTTACCAAATGTGTCTCATCTGTTGTAGCTCATCTAAACGTAAAAGGCTGCTCTGTTTGTTCCTACCTAGATTTTATTTATTTATTATTATTTATTTATTTAATTTATATCCCACCCTCCCTGCCAGGCAGACTTAGACTGGATGACTGGTTATTCATAGGGGAGTCAGAGGCACAGCTTACAGCCCAAAGTTTGCTTGCTGTAACCACCGTAGAGTGACTGGGGTTTATAATAAACTGTCCTAAGTGCACCCTGATCCCTACCCAACACACTGAATTCATTGGACACCATCCCACATAAGGCATACCTCCCAGTCAGGAGAGCCAGAACAATCTAGAATTGTGTGGCGAGATTCTCTCAGAATAGGTTCCAGAAAGTTATTCACATACAAAAGCTGCTAGGTCTTATGGCCTCCACAGCAATGATTCGTCATGCAAGACTTTGCATACATCCCCTTTAGAACTGGCTTCTAGGGAAGTTCAAGGTGTGGATAGACTCTCAATGGCGAAAACTCTGAATACCTAGACAGGTCATCAGATCCCTGGTTTGGTGGTTGGTAGATTCCAACCTGCTAGAAGGCATGCCCTTAGGGGTTTCTCAACATGATCTTCACCTGTTCACAGATGCCTCTCTGACAGGTTGGGGTGCCCATTGTGGCTCAGTCTGTATTAATGAGTACTGGAGTCCTGTTGAGTCAAGGCTTCGTGTTAATGTCTTAGAACTTCAAGTGGTTAGATATACCCTTGCTTATTTTTCAGACATTGTCCACCAAAAACATCTGCTGCTGTCTGGGGACAACATAGCAGCCAAGTGTTACATCAACAAACAATGGGGAATGGGCTCCCTCAGATTGTGCAAGGAAATAATCTGCTTTTATGGGATTGGGCCATTCTGGTAGCCATGCACATAGCAGGTCAAGACAACAAGATGGCAGACTAAGCAGAAACCCACTATCAACACATCAGTGGTCCATGAACACAAAGTACTTAGACCCCATCTTCGAAAAGTTAGGTCACCCATAGGTAGACCTAGATCAAGAAGGGTAGCCATGTTTGTCTGTAGCAGCAGAAAGGAGCGGGAACCCATTAGCACCTTAAAGACTAACAAAATATGTGGCAGGTTGTGAGTTTTCATGAGTCACTGTTCACTTCTTCAGATACAGCGAGAATGGGAGTCAATCTGTCGATCACTCCACTTTCTAGTATATAGGACAGATGGACTCCCATTCTTGCTCTTTTCTACTGTTATAGATTGACCTGTTCGCCTCCGTGAGCAACACAAGAGCAGCCATGGACAATCTGTCCCTGGGAGGTGTCTTCCACCTGCAATTGTCTCATGGCCTTTACTGTGCTTCCCCACCCTTCCCCGTGCTCCACTGCATAGTGCTGAAACCAGATAGCAGCACGTGTATTCTCATAGCACCCTTCTGGCCCAGAAGGATGTGATTCCCAACGTTATAGAAACTTGCCAAGGGAGAAGAATATCTCTACCTCCAGCAAGGGACCTACTATCCTTAGGACCAGTCCTCTACCACACCGTAGAGATGTTACATGTCAGCATGTGGTTAGTTTTGCCATAAACCAGTGGTCAGACAGGGTAGCTGATGTTTTGGTGTCTGCCCATAAACTATCTACCCATAGGTCCTATAATGCCAACATTTTACTGCATGGGCACTAGATAGAAAGATTAGACCAGAGCCTTCCCCTTATCAGAGATTTTCGAATATCTACTCTTGATGGTGATCTCTGGTTTGTCCACCACCTCTATCAAGGTGTATTTAGTGCCCATTTCAGCCTTTCTTGTTGGGGTGGATTCTAAGCCCATGTTTTCAAATATATTGTCAAAAAGATTTCTTAAAGGTTTAGTTAACTTGTATCCACCAGTTAAATCTCTGGTTCCTCAGTGGAGCTCATCTCTCGTGTTATCTCAGCTGATACATAAACCGTTTGAACAAATGGCATCATGTGATCTCTGTTGTCTTACAAAACCGCATTCATAGTAGCAATTATATCAGCCTGTAGGGTGGGTGAGATCTGAGCACTCAGGTTCAACCCCCATTTACCAAATTCCACAGGGATAAGACAGTTTTACGCCCCAGCCTCAATTTTATTCTCAAAATTGTCTCACAGTTTTACATTTCACAGGACATAGTCTTACCAATCTTCTTCCCTGACCCACAATCTGTGGCAGAGAACACACTCCACATGTTAGATGTTAGGAGAGCACTTTTATTTTATTTAGATCGCACCTCTATATTCAGGAAGGATAGCAACATCTTTGTTTCAGAGACCCAAACAAAGAGAAGGCTGTGTCAGCACAACCCCTTTCTAGGTGGATGGCAGCCGCTATCAAAATGGCATACACTAGGGCAGGTTTGGAATGTCCCTTTCCTCTAAAAGCACATTCAATAAGGGCTCAGGCATCTTCCACGGCCTTTCAGTGCCACCTCGGTGTCAGAGAGATCTGCAGAACAGCGACTTGGTCCTCTCTGAAGGTGTTCATCAAACACTACTCCATTGATGTAGATTCCAGGAGAGAGGCAACTCTTTGAAAAGCAGCATTGCAGTCACTTTTCCATTAATTGGCCCACACCCACCTCCATGGTAAGTGACCTTGCTAATCTCCCATGTGGGACTGCACAGAAGATACAAAGATAAAAACATGGTTGCACTTACCTATAACTGATGTTCATTGAGTGTCTTCTGTGCAGGCACACATCCCTCCCTCCTTCCCTGCTGTGGGCCATGTACCTTCTTCACTATCTTCATGGTGGTGAAAAGAGGACCGAAGGAAGAGTGCTCCCCCCATCACGTGATTGTTTGGGTGGGTACAGAGCCTGGAGCTCTGATTGTGCCTAGGGGGAGGGGGAGCATGCAGCTTAGGTTTCTAGAAGCTTGTGGAAAAATCCTCCATGGCAGGCCTGCTCTCAAGCAGTCCCATGTGGGACTGCACAGAAGACACTTGATGAACATCAATTACAGGTAAGTGTAACCGTGTTTTCTTCCTTCCGGAGAGCGGTGAAGACAGAGTTATTCCGCCAAGCATTTAATAACCCAGACCTAGCATGATAGCACTTTATGGTTGCCGCCATGTGTATGTTGTATTGTGTGTAAACTGCGATTTTATTGTGTTGTTATAGACTGTTTTAGATGTGTTGTTGGTTTTACTGTTGTAAGCCGCCCTGAGCCGCTTCGGCGGGAGGGCGGGATAAAAATCAAATAAATAAATAAATAATACAACTAGCAGAAGAGATGAGCCAAATTTAAATGTGCTGATTTCCTTAGTCTACATCATTTATGCAGGTAGTGGGATTCCTCTTTTCTTGTTGCCAAATTTGTGTTATCTTATCACAGAACTTTCATTTTGCAGCCCTGCTTATAGGTGCTTTCTCCCAGCCTCTGTTATGTACCCAGATGCATAAGAAATGTCCCAGAAAAGCATAAATACTTTCCCCATCACTGCAGGAAGACAATCTCCCCAGTGCCTGGACTATGGACCCCTCCCTGAAACTGGAAACATCTGGTTGTTCTGGAAGGTGTTACTTGCAAAGATACCAACGGATTGGCTTCTTTAACTTGCTTCTTTTGCATGAACTTTTTCTTTTCTTTTCTCCCTTCCAGCTTGTGGAGAGACCCTGCAAGAGAGTCAAGGGAACTTCTCTTCACCTGAGTTTCCCAATGGATATTCTGCACACATGCACTGCATCTGGAGAATATCTGTCACTCCAGGGGAAAAGGTATTTGTGGCTCCAAACGACCAGTTTTGTTATCTCACTTCAACTGCCCCACCATCTGTTCCCCTTCCCTTTTCTATCCTCCTTTCCTGCTGTCGTCCTTTTATTTCTTTCTTTGTCCCCTTACCTTTCTCCCCCTCCTACCATTTCTCCTAGGACTGATTCATATGACCATCTTCCTTACATGATAATTGCCATTATCAGGCATAGGCTAGGTTTTGTGAAAAAGACCATCACAGATGTTGTGGGATTGAGTCATCTTAGCCCTTGAATTCAGGACGTACCAGTAGAAGTCAATACTGGACATGGTAAGATTTTATCATCTAGTTGTGTGAACCGAGTCTTGCTCTTCTTTTACTCCCATTCTTTCCACTTTCCCTATGACTCAAACTTCTTTATTGCCTTATTGGGGCTTATTAGGGTAAGGAAAAGCAGAAAAAAGCTGGAAACACACACTTTTTAATGTGGAACGTTATAGTTTTGTAATGTTGGAAAGCCAGTATCAGATATACTCACTGCAAAGAAGGTTCCATGTTTGCAAGTCACATGCCTTTTATTCGTGTATGTTCATGATCATACAGAGATCTTGATGGAAGTTAGACCTCTTTTTCCCCTTTTGATGAGGCTTGCAAATAATAACCAGGCCCTTTTGCAGTCCCTAATGGCGTTTATCATACTATGTCTTCCATTTGAACTTCAGACTTATCTTTGAACTGCAGACTTATCTGTTCTGATTACTGAGGACAGTGCATGTTCTCTGTGGAAGAAAGACCCACATCTACATTTCAGGCAGATTCTGAGCTGGACTCTGGCATGGAGGTTTGGGACCATTGGAGGTTTGGGACCATTTCTAGACTAATATGCTAAATGGTTCCTAGCTTGGAAAAGCTGTGCTGTCAGACTCAGTTTGGTTTAGGAATGTCTGCAATCTGAATGGTTTCCATCAGTATAAAGAAACACATGCAATTGCAACAGCCAGAGATGAATCTGGTTTCAGCCGTTTTTCATTTTGAGCTTGTGGAACTGTTTTAAAATTGGGAGGTCTAAATGAATTTCAAAAGATCTGGTGCAGATGAATAATAGGGCATACTCATGATTAAATTTTTTTGTATTGTTTAAAAAAAGTGGGATACAAAAGGGAAAAGGGGGTAGGGGAAAATATAGATTTATCAAATTTATGAAACATTATGTGTTGTTATATACAACAAGTAAAATCAAATGTATTAGTAAGAATACATATTTCAAATATAGAGGCAGACAATAAAACATCAATATTACAGTGTTTGGGGATGGGTTCTCTCTTTGAAAGAATAAACAAGAACTTTCCTAATGTTAGCAATAATCTGTTAACAATAAGAGAGATTACATCTTTAAGTGCTGAACAAACGTCTAGGCTGAGATTAACACATCATTAAAACCTGAATATTGTCTTAATTGTTTGTCAAAATCTAACTTTTATTCTTACTAAATATTTAAATACTAGTGGAATACTAAATAAAAACATTAAAACTATAATACAATTATACTATATTAATGAAAATAATAATAATAGCGCATACTCAAGTAAGTGCCCAGGCTGTGTGCCTTCCATCTTCTCTGCTGATGTTAGCAATGCTTGCAGCATCCAGATAGAATAAGAGGAGCTGTGGCTCAGTGGTAGAACATGTGCCTTGCATGTAAAAGGTCCTAGGTTCAATTCCTGCCATCTCCATTTAAAAGATCTTGATGATGGAAAAGACTTGCTATGCCTGAGATCCCAACAGTCAAAATGGGCAATACGAAGCTTAAGTAGACTAGAGACAGGGCAGCTTCATGTGTTCAGAGCTGTCTTTTGGATCGGCTCATTTCCTTGTAACCACAATCCAGGAATTTAGCAGGTGAAACTTCTGAGATAAAGTGATTTAGTAGCTGATAAAGAGCTTTATCTACTAATTTTCTAACTATTTTTAAAGGTATAGGAGCATGACCTTTTTAAAAAGTGACAACCCTAAGCTGGAGAAAAGCACTCTGTGGCACATATGCCAGAAAGCTATAGAAGCCTTTGTGTTCCTTTGGATGGCTACAAGGTCAGCAAGGATTGGAATTTCTTCCAGATCTTCTTCGTGGTCTCTGTGCATCACACCCTTGGGATACTCTGCGCCTGCGCTGACCTTCTCGGTACCGATAGCTAGCAAAAGGGATTTTCGCGCCTCTCCCAGGTCACGCGCCGGCTCCACTGCGCATGACCAAGGAGGGGCACGCAGATCCCGCCAGTTCTCTTCTGACCGCCGCGCTGGTAGGACGCCTTCTGCTTCGGTCTGTTAAGTACAAACTTTTGCTAAACCTGCGTTTAGTTACTTTCTTTTTCTTTATTTTTGTAGTTAGCATTTTTCTCCGGGTGTTGTTGTGTGTTTTTTCTCGTTTCCCCTCCGCTGGCCTATGGCCCCGCGGTGGGGTTGTTTCAAACGGTGCAAGACTTGCGGCCTTAAAATATCCCCCACCGACGGGCACTCACTTTGCCTCGTCTGTCTAGGGGAGTCGCACTGTGTGTCCAAGTGCGGACATTGCCGGAAGTTTTCGAACCAGACGAGAAAAAACAGGGCAGCTCGTCTGCATTTGGCTTTGATGGAGAAGGCACTATCCCCTCAGTCCTCCTCTCCATTGGACACGTCCGGACACGCCTCGATGTCGACCCTGGCTGCGGACACTTGTCCTCCCGTTCCGGGAACATCGACGTCGACGGTCGCAATCGATGCTTCGGCACCGAAACGTTCGACGCCGATAAAAGACCACCCCGTACCTTCCAAGATCCGGAAGCAGGGGATATCTGATGCCGTACCTTCCAAGATCCGGAAGCAGGGGATATCTGATGCCGTACCTTCCAAGATCCGGAAGCAGGGGATATCTGATGCCGTACCTTCCAAGATCCGGAAGCAGGGCAAAGACTCACAGCAGTCGAAGAAACCTAAAACGGACAAGTCAAAAGTCCATAAGGTTTCAGCCAGTCAAGGCCGAGATCTCACGCAAGAACCGCACCACCCGATCGGTTCAGATCTCGACATCGACCTTACTCAGCAGACAGTTCAGTCGCAATCTGATATGTCGAGTCGTCAATCCTCTCATGCTTCTCCGGAACGTGGAGTCGATGATCGACACCGACCGGCGTCCCCTCCCTTAGCCTGGGATGAGAGACAATGGCACTACTTATATGGGAACCGATACCCATACCCCTGGGCATTCCCTCCACCGCCCCCACCAGACTGGGATCGTCAATCGGTGTCATCCCGCATTTCGCACTGTCGGGATCGATCCTCGATATCGAAACAGTCGATACCGACACTTCCACCGGGTCCGATTGCGCCCCCGGTCAACACACCGGCACCGTCACAACCGGAATTACCCGGGTCATCGGAACCATCCAATGTATCCTCCGATTCAGACGACTCCTCTGAACATGTAGAGGACGTAAATATACAGCTCACCCCACAAGATGTGGAAGCAGACTTGCCTATCTCTCCATCGGAGGATGTTAAGTCATATGGAGACTTTGTGCAACGTATGGCGTTAGACCTATCTATGACTCCCACTCTCGTTGCCAGTTTTGTGGATGACAATGTTTTTGACATCATGCATTCCAACACTTCGCCTTCTGTGGCTCTTCCAATGACAAAAGTCCTCTTACAAACTGCCAAAGATTTTTGGACTCACCCAGCCTCCATTAATGTATCCAATAAACGTTTGGATCACATGTACAAAATCCAGGAATCAGGGGCTGAGTTTCTGTACACACATCCTAAACCCAATTCTCTGGTCGTCTCATCGTCCACGAAAGGGAAATCGAGTCACTCCACGCCTTCAGATAAGGAAGGGAAGAAATTAGATTCGGTTGGTAGAAAATTCTACACTGTCGGCGCAATGGGCGTTAAAACGGCTAATTATGCAGCCTGCATGGGCCGCTATCAGTTCAATTTATGGAAACGTTTGAATGATTTCCTTCCGCACGTGCCTAAAGAATGTCAGCCACAGATTAAAAGGATTCAGAATGAAGGGATGGTACTGGCTAGGCATCAAATTAGTGCTGCCAAACATTCCCTGGAATCAGCGAGCAAGACTCTGGCAACTTCCGTAGCACTACGCAGACATGCCTGGCTCCGCTCTTCTTCATTGCCATATGATACCAGATCATCGGTGGAAGACCTTCCCTTTGAAGGTTCTGGATTGTTTAGCTCCACCACTGATACGGTATTACAAGAAATGGACAAGAGTATCAAGACGTCCAAGAGTTTGGGAATATCTCCCCCACCTAAGTACTCTAAAACTAAGCAGTGGCCTAGACAACCTTGGCCTACTAGACAACCGTACAGTAAATCACCTACGGATCAATGGCAAAGACCTCCCTCTTCTCAGTCAAGGTCTTTCCCCCCTAAGAACAAAGGACAATCGTCTGGTGCCTATAAGTCGAAGTTTCCTAAAAATCCCAAGCAGGGGCTTTGACTTCAACCGTCTCGCTCATACTCGCCTCGCTCCTTTTCTTCACGCATGGCTGGACATTTCTACAGACAAATGGGTTCATTCTATAATAAGAGATGGCTATCTCATAGAGTTTTCTCAGGTCCCCAAATTTTCCCATTTCATTGGAACCCCGACGTCACCCGTCCTGCTTCAAGAAGTACAATCCCTGACACTGAAAAACGCCATAGAGACAGTCCCGATGGCGGATCGTTGCCAGGGGATTTATTCCAGATATTTCACGGTCCCCAAGAAGGACGGAGGACTTCGTCCAATTATGGATCTAAGATTTCTCAATCGATTCATCATTTACAAAAAGTTTCGTATGACCACTTTGCAAAGCATCTTACCACTCCTGTCTCCAGGGACCTGGATGGTCACTTTAGATCTCAAAGACGCTTATTTTCACGTCTCCATCCACCCTCGTCACAGAAAATTCCTCAGATTCACTGTCGGAGAGGACCATTATCAATTCAAAGCCCTCCCCTTCGGGCTTTCTACCGCCCCCAGGGTCTTTACGAAGGTAATGGTGGTGATCGTCGCCCACCTTCGTCTTCAGGGCATCCAGATTTTTCCATACATAGACGACTGGTTAATGGTGGCAGATTCGAAGGAATGTCTCCTTCAACACATCACCATTACTTTGTCGGTCCTCTCCTCCCTTGGAATTCTGGTGAATTTACAGAAATCCATGCTGCAACCTGCAACTCGCGTGCAGTTCATAGGAGCTGTCATAGACTCCCTAGCCACTCGGGCGTACCTTCCTCGCCAACGGGCAGATACCATTCGTCTGGAAATTCAACGTTTGTTCCAGTCCAACGTGACATCAGCGGTCCACATTCAGCGGATCTTGGGTCTCATGGCAGCCACCACTTCCGTGATCGAATATGCACGCCTTCGCATGCGCCCGTTGCAGCTGTGGTTTCTAAAGAAATTTCGCCCTTCCATCCATCCTCCGAGCCTTCAACTGGTAGTGCCTCCGCAGGTCCTCGTCTCCCTGCAGTGGTGGCTCGTGGACACCAATCTGTTGGCGGGTGCACCGTTCCAACCGATAGTTCCCGTAATGTCCATCACCACAGATGCCTCCCTGTGGGGTTGGGGTGCTCATACAGACGACACTTGTGTGGGTGCTCCATGGCAACCCCTTTGGAAGAGTCATCATATCAACTATCTGGAACTGCTGGCCGTAAAGTTTGCCCTAAGATCCCTACTCAGACAGGTTGTAGGGAAGGATGTGTTGATTTTTACGGACAACACAACTGCGATGGCTTATATCAATCGCCAGGGCGGGACCGTGTCCAGGTCCCTTTGCAGGCTAGCTATGGACATATGGGAAGAGTGCCTTCATTGGAACATCACTCTCCAAGCTGCCCATCTGCCAGGAACTTTGAACCAACAAGCGGATTTCCTGAGCAGAGGGGGAGCATCGGACCACGAATGGGAGTTGAACTCAAAGTATCTCCTTCCTCTTTTTCAACATCTGGGACATCCCCACATCGATGTTTTTGCAACTCGATTGAACAAGAAGTGTCCCAGGTTTTGCTCCAGAGCGGGGTTGGACCCTCTGTCAATGGGGGACGGTCTGTTGATGTCGTGGGCTCACGACTTTCTATACCTATTTCCTCCGATTCCGCTGCTCCACAGGGTGCTTGTGAAAATACAACAGGACAAGCCCCATTGTCTCCTGGTAGCCCCCTGGTGGCCTCGGCAGGTGTGGTTTCCGACACTGCTGCGGTTAGCCAAGGGATCCTTCGTACACTTCCCGCAGGAGTTGGATCTCCTCCAAGCTCAGGAAGGCCAGGTCCTTCACTACGATCCTCTGAGTCTCAAGTTGACTCTATGGGAAATACGCTTTCAGTGATGGATGACCGTATCAATGAGGTCCTGTTGAATTGTCGTAAACTGTCTACTAGGACGTCTTACGCAAAGAAGTGGGATTTATTCCTACAGTACTTGAGTTCTTCCAATTTACCTCCTCCGCCAGTGGATTTGAGGTCTATTTTTGCGTTTATTTTGTCCAGAATGGACTTGGGACTCAGTTTTTCTTCAGTTAAGGTGTATTTAGCTGCGGTGTCAGCTTTTCATCCATCTATTGATGGGTTTTCAGTTTTCTCGCATCCTCAGACGAAACAGTTTTGTAAAGGTCTTATTCGCCTGTACCCTCCCCGTCGTTCTCCGACTCCGGCCTGGGATTTGGCTTTAGTTTTGCGGTTTTTGATGGGAAAACCCTTCGAACCACTGGCCACTTGCTCTCTAAAGTTGTTATCGCTCAAGACTGCGTTTCTGGTGGCCATTACTTCTGCTCGTCGAGTCAGTGAGTTGTCTGCTTTAAGGTGTGATCCACCATACTTGATTTTTTCCCCTCATGGGGTGTCGTTGTCTTTGGACATCTCCTTCTTACCGAAAGTCGTTTCGGAGTTTCATCTACGTTCAGATATAGTTTTGCCGTCATTTTTCCCGTCTCCTGCCAATGAAGAGGAACGGAAATTGCACTCTCTGGATGTTAAGAGGGCGTTGCTGTTCTATTTGGGCAGGACCAAGTCTTTTCGTCAGTCTCCAGCCTTGTTTGTTGCTCACAGTATGCCCTCCCTAGGGAAGAAGATCTCTTCCCAGACGCTGTCCAGGTGGATTGTGGAAGTAATCAAGCTATGTTACGCTTTGGCTAAGAGACCTCTTCCAGGTCAACTTCGCGCCCACTCTACAAGGGCGGTGGCGGCTTCCACAGCTTTCCTGAGAGGGATGCCATTGGAGGACATCTGCAACGCTGCGACTTGGGCTACTCCGCTCACCTTCGTGAAGCATTATGCCCTTGATGTCCGGTCTACTCGTCGTGTGGCGTTGGGTCGGTCTATCTTGCAGACGGCGCAGGTGTAGGGCCTCGGCCCCTCCTCCAGGTAAGAGTTATTGCTTGCTATTCTCCCAAGGGTGTGATGCACAGAGACCACGAAGAAGATAGACAGGTTGCTTACCTGTAACTGGTGATCTTCGAGTGGTCATCTGTGCATTCACACCACCCGCCCTCCTTCCCCTCTGCTCTCGGCCCTTCATCTTGTTTCTTTGAAGGCTGTTGGGCGGCGGTCAGAAGGAACTGGCGGGATCTGCGTGCCCCTCCTTGGTCATGCGCAGTGGAGCCGGCGCGTGACCTGGGAGAGGCGCGAAAATCCCTTTTGCTAGCTATCGGTACCGAGAAGGTCAGCGCAGGCGCAGAGTATCCCAAGGGTGTGAATGCACAGATGACCACTCGAAGATCACCAGTTACAGGTAAGCAACCTGTCTTTCTGGCTTCTTCACCTAGAAGTAAACAAACTGAGCGAACAGCTTCCAGAATTTCTCTGGAGCTGCCTTTGTTCTGAAGAAGGAGGGAGTGATACAGCAAGGCATCACTATCTTAAGAGAAAACGGGGCCTGGTTCCTGCAAAAATGCCGTTGTTTCATCATGCTGATTTTTGGGTAGTTTTATTCAAGTGTTTAGTATTGTCTGAAGACAGTATTGAGTCAAGCAGGTGGAAAGATCTGATGGGATAAGGCAGTTTCAAATGATCGTAATACATTTAACACAGCCCAGGAGAGGCTGTGACTCAATGTTAGAGCTTCGGCTTTGTATGCAGAAGGTCTCAAATTCAATCTCTGGTATCTCTAATTAAAAGTATCAAGTAGGCGATATGAAAGACCTGTTCCTGAGACCCTAGAGAGCTGTTGCCAATCAGAGGAGGCACTACTAATCTTAATAGATCAGTGGTTTGATTCATTATAAGGCAGATTAATGTACATATCTGTGAACTGCAGCAGCCTGACCCATGTAGCTATTAGCAAATGCAAATCCCTCCAGGAATAAACTTCCTCTGGGGTTGGAAAGGGTTTGGGGGGGGGGATCCCATGATCTTCATGCCTGCAGTTTGCAGGATCCAGCCCTCTGTATCGATTGGGGGTGGGGGGATGACGTGTGGACTACTGTTAGTTTTATTCAGGTTAATGAGTTAAGCAGAGGTGGAAAACCAAGCAAGGAGTGAGGAAATTTTCTTCCTCCGGAACAAACCTTGATCCTTCAACAATATTCATGTTTTTCTTCTCAGTCATTCCATATAGAAATTTGTGTTGTTTTTGTTTATTATAAATGAAGTCTAAAATATGAAAGGCATATTGGTCCCCTAGTTCCACATTGTGTATATGTATGTATAGACAAAATATATGTATTTTCTTCCATAGGTGAGGCTATAAATTTTGAACTGCTGCAGCAGTTATACCCACTACCACTGTTAGTTGGCTACTATTATCAAAACAAATGGGGAACGAAAATTCGCAGAATGTGTTTAAGTGGTAGTTGAATATGTGTTGCTTATTCCTGGTGATGTAATCTCTGCTTGCTTCCCAGATTAGGCTGAACTTTACATCCCTGGATCTGTACCGAAGTCGGTTATGCTGGTATGATTACGTGGAGGTGAGAGACGGGTTCTGGAGAAAGGCCGCTTTGCGAGGTAACCAGCAGGAGTGCATCTGTGTCTGAAAGCGGTCAAGCTGTGGTGTATGTCTAGATCTCATATAGGCATACATTATAACATTGGAAGAGACTCTGAACTTCATCTTCTCTGAACTCTTACTGAAATGCCAGCCCATTGATCTCCCATCAGTCAATAGAGCAGATAGGACTCTCTGTCTATACATTTTAACCCAATCAGGGCACCTCCTACTACATTTTTGTCCTCAGAATAACTCTGTGAGGGAAGATTAGTCTGAGAGTTGGTGACTCAAAGTTACCTTATCAGCTTCATGACCGAGTGGGGATTTGAACCCAGGTCTCTCAGGTCTTAGTCCAACCACTGCACAACACTGGCTCTTATAATGTATTTTGATTGACATTTCACCTGTCTCACAATTTGAGGAGGGAGCAGTATCTTCCTCCCTTATAGACTGCAGATAAATACTGAGACAATATAAAACTCCCTTTTGGCACTCTTGCCTCCATTAATTCATCCCCCCCCCCCCCCCCCCCCTTTTCCGATCGTCACCACTCCTCCATCGACAACCCTACTTCCAGGTTTTCCTTGACAGTGCATTAAGACTTAATTTAGCAAATAAAATGCACTGAAATGCATTTTGTTGGTTTTTTAGCCGGCAGCAGGTGAAACTATAGTTTTACTATTCTGTAAGGAATTCTTTGGGTAGGGGCCTTTAAAATGGGAGGGGGTGTTCCACTAAAATTTGCCATTAAAGGCATTCCAACTATATGTGAGTAATTATTCTCCTGTAAAGCAGGGATCAGCAACCCCCGGCACGTGTGCCAAACAGCAACATATGAAACCATTTTGCTCAGCATGCTGGGACTGTTCTCCGCTCAAGCGATTAGTGCAAGACCCTAGGATGCTGGCAGTGCTGCTGGGGCAGGTGGTGTGGGAGAAGGTAAAGGGCCTGGCTTGTGTGTCATCGCCTCTTTAGCCTGCACTGCCTCCAGCTAGATCCAAGGGCCTTGTCTGGGGCTCTGGTGACGGTGCTGAGGCTCAGCCTACTCCCAGTTTGTCTGGCCAAGTACAGCTCTTGTCCCTTCCCCACTTTGCTTGCTGCACACCACCATCTTCACAGGTGTATGCAGCTTTTTTTTTCTTGGCACTTGTGCCAAATAGGTCACCTATCCCTGATGAAAAGTCTGTTCCACAATTCCAGGGTTTAAAGAGTTTGGAGTCTTTAGTAATGTCTGAGTTTGAGAATGTTGGGGAAGGAAATGGAATTTAGGGTGAGTGACTCAGTAGGACCAGGGATACATGTGACTCTGCATGAACAGAAAGAAGTGCAGTTCTGCCACTCAGCAGTAAACCACCCAGAGGTACAAAAGACATATCCAGTAAAGTGTGGTTTTTCTCCAGGTAGGTTCTGTGGGAATAAGCTCCCGGAGTCCATCCTCTCCAGCGATAGCCGCCTCTGGATAGAATTCCGCAGCAGCAGCAACTGGGTCGGCAAAGGCTTCTTTGCAGTCTATGAAGGTACTGGTTTTTTCCTACTCAACCTCAGCAGGAGAAGTGCAAGGATGGGGAGGATTTCAGTGAAGGGTAGGATATGGCCACAGGAGGAAAACCCTTCAAATTACTTAGAAGCCAGAATCATATTTTTAGGGTACAGCCTATGTACAACACATTGGAATAACTCTTTCAAGCTTTTATGTACCAAGGCAACCAGGTTCCTTTTCTAGGGTTGGCAGGGTATGTATTATGTATTTCAGTTTTCAGCCTTCCTTTCCTAAGGATTCAGAGTGAGCAACGTAGGGTAGTCCACATAAATATATTGCAGCATGACAAAATTTGTCTTAGAAGCCCCCAAATCAAGGCATATCCTGATAGAAGAAAATGTAATGAACTATCATGGAGAATGATTCCTCTGTTGTAAAAGGAAAATGAGGAGTGTCCTTTCTATGTAATTTTGGATAGTAGAAATTTTATTGTCATTTTATTGTCATTTCAGTTATTTTTATTGTCATTTCAGTTATTTTTTTCTGTGCTATTTGTAATTATTTTTGGATTAAATAGACGAGTGATGGGTATTAAAAATAGACGAGTGATGGGTATTAAAAAATGCTTTTCCCTGGTAGATGGGAGGTCATTTGCAGATGGGGTAGGTCCTGAGCTGACCCCTTGTGCCTGGAGCATAATGCATTAGCTGCCTTAAAACACAGGAGAACTAGAGAGATGATACAAAAGTTATATTTACCACAGAGGATTCCCATTCTTGTTCCCTTGTGTCTCTAGCTGTTCCTCCTTGCCTTCTTCCTAAAGCTTTGAAGCTCTTCCTACCATCTCTCCAACCCTCCACCATGTCCACCACTCTTCTATCAAAGCAGACACAATCACAGAACTCCATCAATCTGCAGAATGTAAATTGTGTTTGCAGACATGATCCAGATGAGGGCCACACAGAAAGGCAACTTGGTTTCTCTAATTGAAATAAGGCTTCCTGCCCAGTTAACATTTTAAAAGAAAAAAGATCATTTTTAAAGAACACTCCCCACTTTTAAATACTGATAAAAACATGGAAAGCCTAGTTTTGATTAGCAAAACGAAGCAGGGGGTTGAAGGGTTAAATCCCCTCTGCCCTCCCTACCCTAACTCTAACCTGAACAGCTGGAATACACACAATGTACCTTTTACAGACTGATGGAGGTCTGTGATCTAACATGTCTGCTTTTGCCCTTTCTGTCTGGGTTTATCCCTAGCAGTGGGAATGGAGGTGGGGAGATCATTGGCATGGACCTTTCCTTCTTTGCCCATCTGCAGATCAGTTTCTGTCTCTCAGATGGCAGAGGGCAGTTGCTACAGCTCCCTCCTGAGATGGATAATTGAACAGGGGTTCTACCCCTGCAGATATTGTGGGTATAGTATCCCATGCAGAAATCCCATCACCTCACCTAGACTTGATGTGAGTTTTTTTAATAAGACAGCTATGTATGTTTCTCCTGTCATAAGGGGTCCCTCTGCAGGGTCCTGTATTTCCAGACGCAGATGAGCCTTTTCCCAAGGAAAACAAGATTTTGGCTGGGGTGTGCCTCTCACGCGTTTGTTCTCCTTCTAGCAATCTGTGGGGGAGAGATGAAGAAAGACAATGGACACATCCAGTCTCCAAACTATCCTGATGATTACCGGCCAAATAAAGCATGCATCTGGAAGATTACTGTCTCAGAGGGTTTCCATGTGGGCCTCGCTTTCCAGGCATTTGAGGTACCAAACATAGCACTACAAGCCATTTCCCAGTAAACTGATTGTTCTTATTTGCAATATCAAAATGGACCTGATCCATAGGCTTATGCCTCCTAGTTAGCAAGACTGGCAAGAAGACAATAAAGCAGTTTGGATCCTTTGCAATCTGGTTTCAGATGTGGTTATGGGACTTGAAACAGCTTACGTTGGGAGATGGAAGGAAGGAGTGTGACTCTATTGATTCTCCTCAACCTGTCAGCAGCTTTCAAAATCATCAGTCATGGTATCGTTCTGGACCACCTTTCTGGGCTGGAACTGAGAGGCACCATTTTGTGGTGATTCTGGTGCCACTGCTGCTCAGCCGTTTGGCCTTTGGCCTGTGGGGTCTTACAAGTTTCTATCATGTCCACTGTGCTTTTCAGCATCGACACAAAGCTGTTGTGTGAGGTCATCCAGACATTTGGGCTGGGTTGACACCAATAGGTGAATGCCACTCAGTTCTGTCTCATTGTTCTGCAGAGGCTTTAGAAACCATGAACTCATGCCTGGAGGAAGGTTTGGAGTAAGTGTGTCTAATAAGCAGAACTTAATCACTGGTGAGCTGAGATCTGACCCAGGATTTAAGGTGCCACATGTTCTAGATGGGGTTGCGCTGCCCTTGAAGGAACAGGTCCAAGGTTTGGGGTGCTCTTGGACCCAGGCCTACTACTGGATACGCTGGTGGCAGCTGTGGCCAGGAATGCCTTTTACCAGCTTTGACTGGTGAGCCAGCTGCAGCCTTTCCTGCTTACATCTGGCCACTGTGGTGCATGCCCTGGTTACATGTAGATTAGATTACGGCAATACACTCCTTGAAAAGTGTATGGAAACTTCAATTTGGTGCAGAATTATGCAGTCAGAATGATGATTGGCATAGGTCACAGGTACCATGTTTCAGCAGGCATTCCCTCAGTGATCCCTCCAACCTGCCCTGTGTCTTCATTGTTGTTATTATGTTTTTGCATGTGTATTTTTCTTGATTTTAATTCAGTAGCACCTTAAAGACTAACAAAATTTGTAGCAGGGCATGAGCTTTCTTGAGCTCATATAAAGAAGTATCTGAAGAAGTGAGCAGCGACTTACGAAAGCTCATCCCCTGCCACAAATTTTGTTAGTCTTTAAAGTGCTACTGGACTCTTGCTCTTTTCTGCTGCTACAGACAGACTAACATGACTACCCATCTTGGTTTTGATTGTTTGGATGATGTATGTTTGTTTGATTGTAATGGTTTTTAAGACATGTCTTTATTAGGTACGTTTTTAATCTTTTAGCTGCCTTAGTAGCCTTGATGGGGGCAGAAAGTATAGTATAAAGTAAATAATGCTTGGCAAATCTGTTTCAGGACTTCATGCAACAGTGAGGGCATTGCTTGAGTTGCATTTGCAAGCAACATGAATGAAGTCAATAGAAAACCTGTTTGTATTCTGTAACTTGTATGGTGAGGCCTAATCATAGCTGATCTGTTGTGTTGTACTGTACCTTTCAAGAATGCAAGATAAGGGGATTACATTTCACTGTTCCCATGCATTAAAAATGCCATGAACACAGAGTTGCTTTGAGGGAGAAAATCAGACTACATCACTTCTTCCGAACATGCTAGCTTTTCACAAGCAGGGAGTTTTTGATGTGGATAAGCATTAAATCATGGAATTCCCTACTTGCATTCTGAAATAATAAAATTCTAGGAAGGCTGTACCACATGTTTTATGGAATTGGTAGGACTAAGTCCTGAGAAGGGTTTGTGTACTTTAGAGAGATACATATAATGGAAGATTCTAATAGATATACAGCACTGTGATAGGAAAAGAACCATGAAATTCTGCTTTTTATGCATGTCTTTAAAACATAGGTTGTTGCCCTTGGGGTTTGGACTTGACAACCAGTTCTCTGCAAGCACCACTACTGTTTATCAATATTTCTGTCACACAAATAGCATGTAAGGTGCAATACAAAACATAGAAGCAATAAAGCCTCTTCCCTGAGGATTTGCATCCTATTTTAGATGGACCAGAGAGTGGTGGAGGAAGAGGCCAAGCTTAGGACCAAAAGAAACAATTTGAGCAATGGGGATAAAATAAGGGAAGGTCTAGTGATGGGGAAAATGATGTAATGTCAGGCCAAACTGCTTAAAGTGGACCAAATGAAGTTTTGTGCCTAAAGGAGGGATTACTGGTTGTTGAGAATCAGTGGCTCCACTCACATATAATGGCTAACTATGGTTTGTTGTTATGGGAATGAGTGTTTATCTTCAGGCTTGTGTGTTTACTTCTCTCCTCTTATGTATGGTCAGTTAATCAGTCCCTTCCATGTTTGCAGCTAACTAGTTTATCATTGCTTTCAAACCACACACTATTTCCCCACCCCAAACACAGATTACAAACTACTCTGGTTTATAATTCTGGTTAGGAGGGTAGAGAACAAACCATAGTTTTTGGTTCACATGCAACCACAAACCACAGTTTACTGTGGGAGTAAATGTGTGTAATTTCTGAACCAGGCATGAGAAGGAGGGAGGAATAACTATGAGAGCCCCAGGATAAACCAGGCTTGTACCTGTAATGACCACCAACCATAATTTGCAATTGTGTGAGAAATGCCAAATGTTCTTTCTAGTTCAGCCCATCCATTTCTTTCTTGTGTGCCCTCAGACTTTCCATTCTCCACCAGTGATGACCTTAGAGGTAAAACAAGCTCAGTATGTGACTGAGAATAACCTCGGCAGGTTATTCTCTGTTTGGTTTCCCTGTGAGATTTGGCATATATTCTGGCAACCACTGTATGAATATTCATTATTCCATACCCTCCCTTTCTCCCCCGCTCCTACAGATTGAGCGTCATGACAGCTGCGCTTATGACTACCTGGAGATCCGGGATGGTAACTCGGAGACAAGCAATCTGATTGGAAGGTACTGTGGTTATGATAAGCCTGATGACATCAAAAGCACCTCCAACAAGTTGTGGATGAAGTTTGTGTCTGACGGGTCCATTAACAAGGCTGGCTTTGCTGTCAACTTCTTCAAAGGTACTGCCATTACATTGAGCATAGAAGAGGACATGCAGGACTTCAGGTTTGGGTGTCCCTGGGCCGGAGAGCGGATAAATGCCACACTGCTAGAGAACTGAGTCTCTGTGCTTGTCTGGCAAAAAAAGAGAGTAGATTGAAGTGTGAGCACCATCCCTGTGTAATTGGAATGGCTTCAGTGAATGGACTTATCCAGACTTTGGTCTGGGATAGAATATCATGGCTTTAAAGCAGACCATGCCTGAAAGATACCCAGAGAGCCCAATGTGCAGCCTTCATCTTATTGCTGAGCAGGTAGTCGATATGGTGCACATGTTCCAGTTCTGGCCACTAGGAGGCAGGCTTCGCAAGGAAAAGCTTGTTTATAAGCCAGGCAGAGAGAAACACCACTCTAATCCTAGAATGGGTTTCTTTTGTCTCCACAGAAGATTTTTCATCTTCTGATAATATTCATCCTTTTCTTCCTCGCAGGATTGTGAAGTTAGACCCTTTCCCCCTTTTTCTTTCTGAATAGCTTTTTCTGTGATCTACAGGGCATATATATGGAATGGAAACAATGGTTGCCCCTGTTGCAAGTTTACCACTGGAGTAGAATTAGATGGGGCAATAAGTGCAAGCCACATATTAAGATACCTCCTGTTTTTTTCCCCCTCCTTAGAAGTGGATGAATGTTCCAGACCAAACAATGGTGGGTGTGAGCAACGTTGTGTGAACACTCTGGGCAGCTACAAGTGTGCTTGTGACCCTGGTTATGAGTTGGCCTCAGATAAGCGCAGGTGTGAAGGTGAGTATCTTGAGAAGGAACCGGCTCTCAGCCCCACAGTATTTCTTCTGCCTGTTGCTGCTGCTGCTAATTCAGCAAGGCAGAAAGTTGTTCGCTTCCAGGTTGTAGTGGTGTACAGTTCTAGAACATAAGAGATGCCAATGTTGGATCAGGCCAAAGGCCCATCCAGTCCAACACTCTGTATCCCACAGTGGCCAGAAATACCAGTGCCATCAGGAGGTCCACCAGTGGGGCCAGGACATTAGAAGCCATCCCACTGTTGACCCCCCCCCAAGCACCAAGATGACAGAGCATCACTTGCCCCAGAGTCCCTATCTGTACCTTGTGGCTAATAGCCACTGATGGACCTCTGCTCCATATGCTTATCTAATTCCCTTTTGAAGCCGTCCATGCTTGTAGCCGCCACCACTTCCTGTGGCAGTGAATTCCAAGTGTTAATCACTCTTTGGGTGAAGAAGTACTTCCTTTTATCCGTTCTAACCCGACCGCTCAGCAATTTCATGGAGTGCCCACGGGTTCTTGTATTGTGGGAAAGGGAGAAAAGTACCTCTTTCTCTACCTGCTCTTTCCCATGCATAATCTTATAAACCTCAATCATGTCACCCCTCAGTCGTCGTTTCTCCAAGCTAAAGAGCCCTAAGCGCCTTAACCTTTCCTCATAGGGAAAGTGTTCCAACCCTTTTATCATTCGAGTTGCCCTTTTCTGCACTTTTTCCAAAGCTATAATATCCTTTTTAAGGTGTGGTGACCAGAATTGCACACAGTATTCCAGATGAGGTCGCACCATTGATTTATATAGCGGCATTATGATATTGGCTGATCTGTTTACAATACCCTTCCTAATAATCCCCAGCATAGCATTGGCCTTCTTTATTGCAGTCACACACTGTCTCGACATTTTCAGTGAGTTATCTATACTACAACTCCAAGATTGCACTCCACAATGGCCAGTGATAATTTTGGAGCCTGAGACTGTTGGGTTTTCTGTTGTACAGCTGCCTGCGGTGGGTTCCTCACCAAACTGAATGGCTCCATTACAAGTCCTGGGTGGCCCAAAGAATACCCACCCAACAAGAACTGCATCTGGCAGCTTGTGGCACCAACACAGTACCGTATATCCCTGCAGTTTGACTTCTTTGAGACAGAGGGTAACGATGTGAGTACTTAGCTTTAAAACAAATTTCCTTCCCTCACACGTCATATCCTCTCCTGGAGGATTGCCTTTCTATCATTTTTGTCCCTTCATTTATCCAAGGAATGCAGGGTGAATTCATAGTTCCCTTCTCCATTTTATCTTTACAAAAACTGTGTGTGTGTGTGTGTGTGTGTGTGTGTGTGTGTGTGTGTGTGAGAGAGAGAGAGAGAGAGAGAGAGAGAGAGAGAGAGAGAGAGAGAGAGAGAGAGAGAGAGAGAGAGCAGTCTAAGGTATCTTGGATTGTGCATTGGCTAGGGCTCAGAAGCAGAGGGTTCTTGTGAACTTTGTGTTGCTTTTTGAGACCCAGGAAGGATGCACATAACTGCACATCCTGAGAAAGATAGCTCTTCAACTTTGGGGAAGCCACCAAAAAGGCTGTGTTGCATTCCTGAATCAAGATTGTTGCTTTGTGAGCAATGATTACTGATAAGGAATGAACGGTTGGAAGAGGGAAGTAAAGTTGGGTTGTTTCATTATGTAAATGTAAAGATTAGTCTTCTTTTCGCTAAATCACAAGTATAAAATCAATCCCCATGCAAGGGAACATGGAGCAGGTCTTCAGGGGGTTACCTTAATGAGTGTGAGGTGCTTTCCATCTTACAAAGCAGAATGTTTTGGAACTCTCCTGCTTGAAATGCCTGCTTCAGATGCAGAGCCACTTTTGTCTGTCCGTGCCCCATGAAGCCTGATGAATTGCTGGTGCCTCTCTTCCTACAGGTATGTAAGTATGACTTCGTAGAAGTGCGCAGCGGGCTCACTGCTGAGGCCAAACTACACGGCAAGTTCTGTGGGGCAGAAAAGCCCGATGTGATCACCTCCCAGTACAACAACATGCGCATAGAATTCAAGTCCGACAACACCGTCTCCAAGAAAGGCTTCAAGGCTCATTTCTTCTCAGGTAGAACTGCTTTGCTCAGTTGAAGCATGGATGCTTCTCCCTGCCCTGCTCCCCTGTTCCTCTCCTTCCAGCACTAATCCTTTCATACACCTATCTGTGCTTAGAGGGTGCAGTCCCTAATTCCCCCCAGTAGGGAGCATTGTTTCCCATAAATCCGGTCTTCGTTCTGTCGGCTGCCTTCCCTGGAGAAAGGCATTTGTCTTGCACTGAGAAGTAAATTTACCAGTAAGAGTATGACCATTTTCCCCTGCCCTCTAACTGGGTGCAGATCTTCTTCAGCCTTAACGGAGCTGCTGCAGTTTACATCAGCTGAGAATCTGGGCTAAATGCTGACCGGAATGACAAAACAAGCCCTAGTCTGAAAAATTATTTTAAAAGTGCAAGCATTCCATATATGTGACCAAATACTACCAGTGGTAGGTGATGTTTCTCTTCCTTCTTTTGTGTGTGCACTTCCAAATAAATAAATTAATAAGTCATCAGCAGTAAGACTTCTGTTGGTGGTATGCCACCAGTGATTAGAAGAGACTTCTGGTTGCCTAAAGGACTTACTAACCTCAGCTGGTTTTCTACTAAGTACTGTCCCTTTACCGTAGGTGGTATGTGTGTGCATTGTGTTTTGGAACCAGTAGCTGTAGTTTTTGTGGTTCTCCAAACCAAGGAAGTTTGGGATAGATAAACATTCCTAACAGGAATAAATCCACATTAGATGTCTATAACCAGTATTAAATATTTCCAGAAAGTGGTAATGTTCCCTGATTTTGAACATGTTGGCCTTAATACTGCTAAATTTAGTCATGACTTAGTTCCACTGCTTTCTGTGGGAAAGTGGATTGAGGCTTTTACGTAGAAACCAGTGGAATTTTATTTCTATTTAAGTGTGCTTAGAATGGGCCAAAAGAGAATGCTTTTTAAAAATCCCATCCATCCTTAGGTTGGTGTCCCTTCTGTTTCTCCAGCAAAGCAAAGAGAGAGAAAGAGAGCAAAGCCCAAAAGGTATGAACAGGGGTTGAAATGAAAGTATATTTCAGTTTACTTTTACTCCTTGATTACTGTTCTAACAACCAGAGTCATAAACAGCAAACCCTAAAAATTACTACAAAAATTATCATGTAACTTAACAACAGCTGCCAGAAATTTCACCACACATGAAGTGGTTTGTTAATATTTATCTCTGAGTGGCCAAGATGATTTAGCTTCTGAAAAGACAAAGTCCTGATTAACTAATGGAGAGATCAATTCAAGCTCTTAAATCTGAAAATTTGGGGCACTCAAAAAGAATATGATCCACAGAATCAATTCTGTTGTTGCCACAACTGCAGATTCTATCTGAAGATAGAGTTCCACTGAACCTTCCTAGCATCACTGCTGAGGGTAGAGCATTCAAATGCACAAGCATGAATGCCCATCTATACTATAACAGTTAGCTCAGACAGATAGTTTGGCATTTCTGTTGGTGAGAGAATGCCTACTGAGGAAGATGAACACACTCTGCAAGCTCTAATCAGCATACTCTCATAATCAAAGTCCCTCAGACATCTTCTAATGAGCTGGGTCAATTCTTGTCTACTCATTGTTTCTGTCACATGGGCAATGCCCAAACGTGATAATTTATTATCCCAGTCACTTGTGTGATGATCCAATTTGACTAGTCCAAGAACATATTTTAATAAGTATTTTAAATGAGGAAGCCATCTTCTGCAAGACACGAATTAACAGAAACTCTCTTTGGAATGCAGTCTTCTCAGGTATTTTGTGCATGTTACTGTCCCAACAGCCACGCATTTCATTCATCCTTGACGATTATGATAGAGCCAGTCATGAGCAGTCAGCTTCTCTGTTCAGATGTTAATTTTTGGCAGCTTGTCAATAAAATGTCTTCCATTCCTTGTTGGACAGTTATCATTTGTAAACATTCTCTGAGAAATCAGTGATAGATTTTATTGACATTATAAAAAATTTGCTCTGTTTTGTTTTTAAACAAATGGTGTGTGGCTGCAGGTAGCTAGGAGACTGCGGGGAACTAGTATGGTTTACCAACTTCCACATCATTTCAAAGAGTCCTACTTGGTTGCACATCTCATGAGGAGACTTGATGTCAACAACAAATCCATACTTAGAGAAGCTTATATTATTTGAGACCGGAGCTGGTTTGCCACCCAAGTGAGCAGAGCAGCCACTTAGGATGTTACAATTGGTGGATGGCAGCTATGACTTGCATCTCTCATTGGCTCACAGATCAGTGCTCCTGCCCCCTTGGTCCAATGCCCTGCAGGCATTGCCTTGAATACTTGTCTTGGAGTGGATGTTGCTGGAGTCAGCATGGGAGAAGGCATCAAAATACTTTGAGCCACCCCAGCTGAGATCTCGGGGTATACATGGGAACAGCTTCAAAGTTTTGCTTCTCTGCACAATAAATTACCACTAGGTGAGAGATGTGACTGTTAAGATATTTAGCCAAGGTTTTTTAGCTGTTAGAACATTCGTTCAGAGGTGCTTCTACATGTGTAAAGATTGCCTCTTGTGTAGCACTGACCATAACAAGGCTTAGCATTAATCAAGTAGTCAGCCTATGGGTGCAAGCTTTTTGAGATAGGTTAGTTAGCTCATCTGTACTAAAATAACATCCTTTGCTGTCTGGCTATCAGAAGGACCCAAGCAAAGTGGTCAGATTGCACAGTAGGAAGCTGGGGCTGGGAGCTGAGGAGTTTGAGATAATTCCATCTCCACTGCAATTTATTCTTCTTAGTAATTTCCCAAGGCTGAGGTAGCCAACAGTGTTAATACAAATTTACTTGAGACAAATGTAACTCAAAAAGGAATCTGGCTCATTATAATTACAAGATTGCATCCAAATACTCCAAATTTTCTCGCAGCCCCTTCCTTCAGGTGTGGTGATAGGCTGCTTACCTGTATTCCTTCTGAATTTGGGGCCATGGCAGTAAATCTACTCATCTTTTTATAATCGCCAGTTAGCAAAGAAGATTAGCATGTTCTGCCTAACACTGCTTTTGTCAAGCACATGTATCCCTTGATCTATTGGTGCTGGCATATACTGCAGAATTCTGACAAAGTGATGTGAATGCCACCTTCTTTGCCTTGCAAAAAAAGAGCTGGCGGGGAATGGAGTCATTGGTTGTAGCCGCTTGTTGCCATTCTGGGCCTTCTGACAGCTCATACGCCTTCCCTTATTTCAAATCGGCTTTCCTAGATGGAGCCAAGTGTTTCTGCCAAAACTGGCCTCTCACTCTGCAATACGTACTTAATTACTGATGCAAAACAGCCAGAACAGATGACATTATTTAGGCACCTGCTTCCCTGTCAGGGCATCTGTCTTGAGTCATTCTTCTGATGCACTAGTTGAAAGGGAATGAGAGATGCACACAATGGCCAGAGCCGTGCACAGCTGAGCCATGCACAAGCCTCATTGACTTCAATTAGTCTCTATTTCAAGGGGATGGCTACACTTAGTTGTGCCCAGCAGTGTTCTTTCTCCTTCCATTCTCCTTAAAGATGCCCACAGCAAAAAGAAACATAAGTTCAGGCTCTCAGCTTCAATGACAACTGAGATCAAACCTGTCTTTAAACTACAGCCTTGCAAAAATGTATGGCCAAGCCCTCTTTCAAACCTTTGGGCTCCTTATGATATTCCAGAACTACATCTAACCAGTACCTTAGCTGGTTAGGTTGCACAGGTCACAAAATCAGGATTTATTAGGGTTCCTATTTTGCCACATTTATAGGTGTTTCAGCTTGTTGCCTTCTCTGTCTCGTACGCCACCCGAACACTCAGAGGTCACATACCCCTCTATGGGAAAGCCTGGTCAAAATACTCCTCTTAGTCTTAGTTCAGAACTAAGTGTGGTCTCACTTATTCCATAAATGGCCCCACCAAATTTTCCATTTTCACGGAGTTGGAGGGTACTGCATTCTCTAGCACTGTTCTTTTTAATGAATAATACTCACCAGGAATTCAGCCTCTGCAAATGCACTGCTTCCTTTACCTGAGCTATGGTGTTTCCGTGCTATGCACACTCTGTTCTGCCTGACCTAATGATGTACCCCATGACAATCTCTACTCTAAGCTGCTGTTCACCTGGTGGTATCATTGCACATTCCTTTTCCAGTTGCATATAAAGACAATCATGGCTTTTGCTCTGCTTGATGGCATCTTTTCCATCTTTCCACTTGTTTTTTTTAAAGCAACTTTGATGTAGGACAGCTGTGTGGGGAAATTCTATCTTTTCTGAACTAGCTCAGCATTGTTTTTTCCCAGTGGCATAAGAGGAAAAAATGCCCTTTCCTCGTGTGTAGCCAGACAACTGTTGTGCTGGCAGGGGGTGCCCAGAAAAGGCAGAGAATGTTGGGACACCATTACCTGCTTATGTCATCTTGTGTTCCATGTTGTATTGTTTCCTTTATGTCAGTGCAATGAAAAAATCACTAAGTAACCTTTCACCCACTCTAGTTTAAGACTGGGCAGCTACTGGGTAATGGGCAAAAACTCCAGTGATATCAAAGAAAGTACATCACAGAAGAACAAAACTCTCATTACAGAAGAACACAGAGAAACTCTCAACAGTTTATTCAGAAGTTAAGTGCCCTGTTTGTGAGAAAGGGCTATTATGCTTTGCATGCAGAAGGTCCCAACTCATTTCTTAGCATATGTAGCTAAGACCTCAGACTGAGACCATGTAAAGCCACGGCCAGTCTGAGTAAACAACATCAGGCTAAACAGACCAGTGGTCTGATGGCATAAGGCAACTTTATACACTCACATGTGTTTTTTGAGCAGAACTTTACATTAGGGGCAAAGTTTATTAAATGTGTTTCTGTGCACTGTCATTACATCACTATATTAAAATAACCTTTCTTATATATATTAATGCTTAGAAAACTTACAGCTAACAAGAAATTACAATTAAGTCCTGAATTAAACCTTTGAGAGTACTTATACCTCTTGTTCTTCTTTGATACACCCTTTTACTGTTGGAAGAGTC